CAGTCCACCATAGTATTCTTGAAAAGATTGCAGTTCACATTGATGTTGGCGATGGCTGACCTCCTCCCCTCCCCAGTAGATGGCACTGCCCCTTTAAGTCTCAAACTTTTCTGACTAAACAATAATTTTCTTGGTACTCGTGGTGAATAAGTGCAGCAGGGTCTGGACTTACGTTGGGGATTGGCATTGAGGGTGCAGGGACTGGAACTAGGGGTGGGGGTAGGGACTAGCATTGTGGCACTAAGGGGGTACGGGCATTGGCACTGGAGTTACGAAGACTGGCACTGGGGACGCAGTGGGTTAATAGAAGAGCTATTAAATCTGCCTTTCCCTACTCTGGCTGTGTTTACATGTTAACACTCAACCACAAATCCCATAGCCACATATCGCATTGAATATCTCTGGCCTCACGTCACCCTGCTCCTTCAAGCAACAGACAAAACAGCGAGCTAATATGGCACCATTTCATGGGCTACCGTGGCGGTTATGAAATATTCCTGCTGAACATTTCAGAAAGGATGATGTTTTCTAAAGCCAAACCAAACTCCTACTTGTCCATGGGAGCAGATGTGTTTGAAATGAACTAAATGGAATGATTTGTGAAATTACCCTGTACACCCGAAGCAGTGAATTTCACGTCGCTATCTCAGTTTCCGAGGCTTGGGCATTTGGACGTACTGCAGCTGGTTCATCTGTATCTCTTTTGTACTGAAATCAAAACCTTATGTCAGTGGGAGTTGCTGCAGGCAGGAAATTCCTGTTTAAAAGCCAGAAATATAAATCAACGTTAAAACTGATTAAGTGACTCATGGATTAATGACAATCTGAATCTGAACTAATGTTAATCCAGTTTTCTCGTACCGTCAGTCTCTGTATCTCTTTCCAGCAAACACCTTATGTTACTGGCTGTATCTTTACTGCTGCTGATAATCACGCTCCCTCTCACAGTTGGGCTCAGAGCCAGAACCCTTTGTTAATGACAATTTTTACCAATGTATTTTTCAGCTCTCTCACAGTAGTGGAGGATTAATGAGCACTCACCTCTCAAGCGAGAGGACTTGGGTTCGATTCCTGGGCAGGGCGAAACCTTAGGCAAGTTTCCTTACTCCCCATACACACATCTGTTCACCTGGCAGTACGTAGGAACCCGGTTGTTAGTGGATTGGCGGATCTCTTTCCAGGGGTAGTAATCCCTTCAAAAAAATACTTATGTTGGCACTCAATCCACGACTGCTTATGGGACACTGCTGTGCGGTATTGGCTGCCGCATTTCTCCCACAAAATATGCAGTCAATTCACTTTACGGTATATTCTGTGAAGCGTTTTGAGACGTCTTTGAGACGTGATAAGGTGCTATATCAAATGCAAGATTATTATTGTTGTCAAGCTTAATAACTCCTGCCAGCAAGTCAATGCTTTGTGTTACTGTTGTTTGCTTACTGATGTTATTCCAGCGCCTTTGCACCGTTGGGCACAGTAACTCCTCCTAGCCAGTCAGCGCCTATGTTAAATGTAATTAGAAAACATTTCAACAGATTTGTGTTTTGAAAGATTGCTAACTGCTCACAGCCCCCTTTAAAGGGAGTGCTTGTTTGTCATCTTAATCTGTTCTAGCTGCTGAAATGAGCTCATGCCTGCATTGTGCCTGGGGTGCTGGCAGAGGGATAGGCTGTTAGTGGTGCAGAACACCTGCAATAAAGTTCCTGGTGGACAGAGCAGGGTTCCATGCTTAATACTTTAATTGCGTGCCTTATCTTGACTAGAGCCAGCCACCCCGGCGCACCTCCCCCCCTTCCACACACACACACACACACACACACTCTCTTTTTGCTCTGCAATCACAAAGGCAAATGAATGATTCATTCCCCTTTTGTTGCTGATTCAGCCTGCGCATAAACCGCAGCAAGGCAGCCCGCAGGGCTGAGATGTTCCAGTACTTCCACCATATAAAGCGACGGGTGAAACTTCTTGACCAGTGCCTCACGTTACATTGCATAAGTTCGGCTGACTTGCTACTGATCTGCTTCTGTTTACCTAGCAGTAAATCGGAACCTGGTTGTTAGTCGATTGGCGGATCACTTTCCAGGAGGAATAATCCCTCCCCCCCAAAAAATGGTCACTCAAACCATGACTGTTTGTGGGACACTGCTGTGCACAGTTGGCTGCCGTGTTTCACCCGCAAGTTACAGTCACTTTACAATAGATTCTGTGAAGGGTCTTGAGACATCTCAACGACGTGATAAGGCGCTGTATCAGATGCAAGGATTATTATTATCACTGCAACAGATGAGAATGGTGTGTTTTTTACCGTGTGAAAAGACATGCCATGACTCTGTCATTCCTAAATAGCCGCTTGTTAAATTCCTAGTGTGAACAATTGATTAGGATGGGTAAATGGTATATATCCTCACTTTGTTGAAATTGAGACTTAACGCAATGTTGCCTGTTCTAACTCATTCTTCCCCAGAATCTCAAGACTGTTGAAGTCCTCACCTTTCTCGGTATCTCATGGTTTAATCCTAACCCCAAACCCAAGCATTTAACCACTTCTTGATTTGCTTTTCTAGATTTATGGTTCGCTAGCACAATTCGCAGTCACTACGCTTCACAATAAATCAGTGAAGTGCTTTGAGATATCATCCTGGTGTGAAAGCGCCCTATCAAGGAGTGTGTGCAAGGATTCTTTTTATCTTCATATAGATTCCCCCCCTCCCCAGCCCACACACACAGGCACTCTGTCTCATTCACACACTCTCTCTCCCACATACACACTCCAAGGAACACAATGGAAATGAAGTGTGTCTGCAGGTGAATTGTGAGGAATTAATGCCCCGAGAGATGTTTTACTGTTTCCAATATATCCTCAAGTACTGATAGTTACTGAATATCAGTTCTGGAGTCTTGTATTCACTGTTGTAAGATGTTTGGGGTTGAACATTGGAACATTCGGACTGTCTCTGCACTGATTATGACTTTCAATTTATGCCTGAGATGTGACAACTCGCTACTAAATTCAATGCCAGATTTGCTTTAAATACTTGTGACAACACTGCGGTCCAGAACGTCGAACACTGCGCTGTTCGACGACCATATTACCGACTTTTCGAGCCTTCCCAGCCAAGAAACGTCATTGTTTCCATTGCTCAAAGTAAAGTCTTTGCCCAGTGTAGCTCTAGTGCATACAAAGTCCAAGGTCATTGTGAGCAGGGCAACGGATGGCAGTTGTCCTCAGTTTACCTGGGCTAACAAGGGTAGGATTAGCCAGGCTGCCCACTCCTCCTCATCCCTCTAGAGATTCCTCTTTTCTCCTCTCCCGCCCCCACCTCCCAAAGTATGCATGCATGGACATCAGGTGAAGGTCAATTGTTTGGGCTGTGATGCTACACTCTCACTGATCTCACATGAAAACTGGACACTTGTATGAAGTATCAAAGGGGGCTGTGGAACCATTCACCAACACAGAGTCTCGGAGCCTTGGGGGAAATCCCATTTCCCGAGCATTTAAGAGTATTAAAGCTACCACTCACTACATTGATCATCACTCTGGAAATGTACTCAATGCAGTCAGTCGAGCAACCTTTGTATTAACACACACCCTTGAGGTGGAAAATACAAGAACACGGAATCTTTACTTGCGACGTGTGGAGATAAACAGCACTAAAGTTTGTTTTGATTTCTCAATGTTTTGTAAAGCTGTGTTGGAGATTAGCTCAGTGGAACACTTGGCTCTGAGCCCAGGGTTGCAGAAAGAGGTCACTTTGTACAGACTCAGGAGAATCTTTGCTGGGTTTTGTGTATCGCTCCAACCTCTGGAGAGCTACACCCCCATAGTGTCAGCAGGGTCAAACACAGCACCAGTAGTCTTCTGACAGGGCTAAACCTGCCAACAGAAGGGTCTGTGTTGTACTCTGCAATATAAAGTGGCTGCACAATGTGTTAGTGTGGGTGCTGGAGTACTGCTTCATTGAATGCATTGCTTTTTATAATTATTTCATATTTAAGATCGAAAGTCCTTAATAATCTTTCACATTGACAGGTTGGTGTAAAGTGCTGATTGTAAATTCAGATATTTGTTCAGCCTGAAGTTGTTCCTCAGACGATAGGTTAGAATGGAGCACAGGGTCATGATTTAATTTGGCCCGAGCAAAGTCCTGGCACTTTGTGCACTCAAAGGGAAGGGAAAATAATTCCTAACATTAAAAAAAGAGGGAAAACAAATCCCTCTGCTAGCAATGATGGTGCATGTCAATATAAACCTGCCTGGCACTTGCTGTACTGTGTATTCAAATGTGAATGTGATGTGAATTTTACTGGAAACAAAAGGCAGCACTGCTGGAGGGCAAGTGTACAATCGATTTAAGAGGCTGTTGAGTTTGAGTTACACAGTGATCTTCCTGAAGTGGCACTGAGCCACACATCGGTTGGGTGCCAGGTTTCACTTTCTCAGCTTCTCTTAAGTGGTCTCCATTGACCTCTTTTGGGATTTCTGTAAGTGTGTGTGTCTGTAGGTGGGTATGTGTGCACGCACATAAAGCCTAATATTCTCAACTCCCAAATACAGTAGAACTCGCATAAGTCTGATCTGTATAATCTTCTAAATCGTACATCTGCCCAAGTCGCGTTCAAGAGTTTATCTTCTAGATAACTTTCCCTAAGTCATATTAAATGTATAGTCCCAACTGATATGGCTTATGTGAGGTTTACTGTCCGCAGCTTCAAGATTCCTGTAGAATCACACTTAGCACAGGGAAATAATTGCACCCAGTGTTTAATTCTGTGACGGCTATTTGAAAATGATCTTGAAAGCCATCGCAGGTTTGAATGAACCCAGTTTACCTATCTTACAACAAAAACGTGCATTTATATAGCACCCATCAAGCAGGATAGCATCTCAGAGCGCTGCGCGACTAACAGATTAATTCTAGATTTTAAATTCAAATGGTAGGGTGGCTATTTCTCGTAAGCTTTAATTGTTCAAAATCATTTTATTCTCCCCACAGCATCACAGGATGGAAAACCACGTGGACCAGCCATTCTGGTGGAGACTTCTTGTCCTCCTCTTTGCTATGATCTTTGACCCAGAAGAGAATAGGGCAATGCCAGGTCAAAGATGAGATCCAGACACCAACCCCTCCACCCACCACCCCGCACCACAAAAGCATCAGAGTGTGTTGCAAATGGCACTAAACAAGGGAACAACAGAACGGGTTTGAAGACGCACGCCGCTGGCCGGATGCTATTGCCTTTTTCTACACGAAGCAGCGCTTCCGACAGAACTCCAGGACAATACGTGGCTGTTCTCTATCCCATCTCTCGGCAGCTCCTCTTCCTTCAAAGGCTCATTCATTAACTCCTGGATCCCAACGGCATCGTTGGAAAAGAACGTGGCTTTTCCCTCTTCTCATTCCTGCCACGCTGGCGAAGCTTCTGAGTTCCAAAACCAGAAACTCAAAGCAAAACAAGGGAGTGGGGAGCTCCTTGACCTCAGGATTCCTTTCAAATGTCTTCAGGACTTGTGTGGAACAAGCCTAACTGGTTGCTCGACCCTTAACGCTGGTCGTGTGCAAACTAAGGGTTGTAGCAGTGTAACCTCATTGAGTAACCTCTCCAGGAACTCAATTCTTTTCGTAAGAACCGCTTTCTTAACACCTTGAGTGCCTTGAGTGTTTATCTTCATTTTTATGAGAGAGCCATTGGGCCGTTTCATGGATGAAGTTTATTTAGGCTCTTGTGTTATAAATACTGTGGGTTTGGAGTTTTACTGTGTAGATGGTGGAAATGAACCCTACCAAGTGCTCACTTAGGCAGTCATTTGGCCTTGATTGGCAAAGCCCCAATACCGGCAATGAAAATCTTTTTGTGGGATATTTTTGTCCTCCATCTCCAGTCTTGGAACGGAATGAAAATTGAACCAAATACTGCAGTTAAGGTCTTGCCGGAGGTCGGGAGATGAGAGTGGGAGAGGATGACACACAGCAGTTACTCTTTGAAGAAAGCTGTCATCTCTTGTTTACTCTCTAGCCAGCAGACCTCCCTATTCTGCTGGACCGAATTAATCGGATGGATTTTTGTGGTTAGGTTCAAATGCTTAGTTATCTCTTGAGTTGTAATCTATGAGTTTGATTCCAAACATGGGTAGTGGGCATCAGCCCACAATTCTGCTCTGACATGAATTGCAACCAAAATTGGTATGTTCAGTTCACAAAGAGTAAGAAGGAAGAATGTAGGGACAGGGTACCACATGGACCAAGTGTGCTTCTGTGGAAGGGCATTGAAGCCTATTGACGTTTAATGTAGAAGGAGCTCCACATTATCTGTGATTTCTCCCGGTCTTAGGTCTTAGGGTTACCACTTGAAAACTCCCCATGAGGACCTCTTTATTTCTTCTGTAATAGTGTAATTTTGGCTTGAGTGACTGACAGCTACAGGTGGGGAATGAAACTGCCAACTTTAAAACCTCTGGAGAATGCTGGCAGATGCCCGAAGCTTAGCAGATATGTTGCTATTGTTGTTTAGGAACAAGCTGCATCACATTCACACTTGATGATATGACCACTATGTTGACAGGTACAGCTTCTTTGGAGATCTTAGGATTTGACATCCCTGTACAATACCCAGTAGCAATAATAATAATCCTTACATTTGATATAGCGCCTTATCACGTCGTCGAGACGTTTCAAAGAGCTTCACAGGAATTACTGTAAAGTGTTTTTTGCCTGTGCATTTTGGGAACACATTTCAGTAAGTAGCAGATGCATTTTTCAGCCAGTGCACAACAACCACTTACTTCTCGCAAGTGCAGTAAAGAGCCATTGTTAGTCGACCACAAGTTCACAGTTAAGGTCCTCAGCTTATTGAAAGGCCACCTCCAATCCATATCTCATTAAAATCGGTTACGTATAACAGCACCTGCAATACAGGATGCCCTTCCACACAGCAAGACTAATGTATATACATGACGCCCCCTTTCACACAGCAAGCCTGTAATGTACACAGGAAGCATCATTTCCACATAGCGAGGCAATAATGTGTGTACACCTCTTCCACACAGCAGCAACAGTGTGTTGTTGGCTCTTAATGAAAATATACTGTTTAGAATGAAACTTAAACGAGTGACTTATACAAACACTGGAACTGGCTCGAGGGGCAGTACTGGACATATGATGGCAGCCTAAAGGGGCCACAGGTCACAGATGCACTGTAAATTTACTGCACCTGCAAACACTGATCCTCACCTGATTCTACCCACAATGTTGCCGCTCAGACTGGGTGTCGCTGTGAGAATCTAAAGGCTTGATCCTATGTCACACTGCGCCCACATCACATGGAATGCAGAGCACCCCTTAACTAAGAAGTAGGCTTTTATAAAAGATTATACAATAAATGCTTATTAAAATTTGTATTACCTAACAGCTGGGAAGGACGAAAAGGCTGGTCTTAAATTGAGCATGCAAGTTGTGGGTCCACAAGATCTATTCAGTCCAATTATTCAGTCCTTCAATATCCATCTATCCATTGCTCTAGGTCACGTTGGTCCAACAGGTGGCCCTCGGGCCGCATCCGGCCCATGGGCTGATTTCATCCGCCCCCCTCTCTCCATTTCATCTGGCCCACCCGTTCCCTCCATAACCCTTAAATGTTATGTTACGTTTCTGGAAGGAAAACACAAAAATCCTGATTATGCGGTCCGCGGATGTTTTTCAAATAGGGCATCCGGCCCTCAGCAGCTACAAGGTTGGACCTCCCTTCTAGATTGTTGCCGATATCAGACCTGTAACGCCAGGTAGCAATATCGATGTAAGATGTGCCAATTGGGACCATATGTTTTGATAGCAGCTGATCCCAAATGTAGTACAATCTCATCAAGTCTCTCTCCACGACCCATTCTAGAATACAACCGGCGAGTGGGCCGATGGCGCTGTGATGTGGACAATCAGTTATATTGTTCTACACTGACAAGTCGATTGTTCTTCAAATATGATTTGAAATCATTTTTAAGGAACTTTGATCAATTCTTCAAAGTATGTGAACTGCCACAACTATTGGGTGTTAAACAATGAGCTGTTCACTAACGTGCTTAGAAAGTGAATTCCCATTATAAGGACAGTTCCAGAGTTTTCTGGTGTTAGAGACATTGCATTATTTTACCCCTTTGTGCATCTTAACTCAGAACAGAAATGGATAAATGGACATTAATATCTCTCTCACACACATTATCCTTTAAGATTCATGGAACAAGATGTGGACCATCAAAAAATGACTCACCAGCAATTGTTGACTCTTCGGTGAGTGAGTGTTGAGTGAAGTGTGACTGCAAGGTTTATTTGGGAGGAGTTGGGTGAAGAGAATGCCATTTTACTCTTCGCACTGTGCCTGTTTGTGGGGGGTCACCTTTCACCAACCAAAAAAAAGTTTCCTGCAATCCTTGAAAGCTAAGCGGGATAATGTGGAAATACTGCCTTGGGAATGGCCAGTTGACAAGGGACTTGACAGTTGCTAGCTGGTGCCCATCTGCACCAGTCTTCAGAAGCGCCTGGGTTCCTTGTTTATCCTTGTAATTTATTCTGTGTAATTTATTTTGTGTATTGCTGGTCTCCTCTGGTTTTCTAGTGTGCAATTGTTCCATTGTTTTGTGTTGGGAGAGAGGGGGTGTGTTCCAGCTACATTGTTTAAGTTGTATTTTTCATCAAAGAGTTGCCACAACTGGCAGTGTGTAATGGTTCCTTGGATGATATGGTGACTGCCTCCAGAATAGTACCACTTCCTCTTGCCATCATGAAGAGTTTTTTTATTGCAACTCCCAGGTAAAAGAATAGGAAGATTGAGTCTTTGCCTCGTGAGATCTGGATCCCAGCCCAGCCCCAGAGAAGGAAAACAAACAACAAATTACAATTACAATTACGTAGTGCCTTTCACACTACTGTCTCAAGGTGCGAGGCCTTATCCACCCACCAATGCTTTTATCTGAAAACGAATTGACTTCAGAGGCAATGCATTGTATCCCACAGGGCCTTATTGGTGGGTCTACTACATGTAAGATGCCCACCTTTCCCTCTGGGCTTTGAAGATTGATGGGTTGCAGAGTGCAGGCCATCATTTTTTTAATAAGATGTACGTTGTGATCATCTGACTCTCAATGTTCTCCAGGGAGCAGGAGATAATGATCCTTGCGAGAGGTCCCAGCAGAGCACAGAAACACCCGAGGGAGTGGAGGGAGTGCATTGCAATTCAATGTACAGTACTTGGAACAGAAAGTCTGACTGAAACCCCTGCCGACCTGCTGAAAACCCCCTCCCTTCATTTTTCTGAGGCCATGGAGATTCATTTTTTTAACTTATACAATAATCCAGAATTTAGAAGTAATTGGAAATTTAACCATCATTCCCTGGGGACTGACCTGGGTTAACTTCACAAGATGGTCAGTATATCAACCTCGATCAAACATTTCGGTAAATTTAACTTAAATTCGCAAACGATATTCTTAGCCTCTGATAAATCCAATGTAAATTCCGATGTATATTTCCAGGTAACATTTTTGTATATTTTGCAATGTGCTTCCCTTCCACGCAGGAAATTTCTGATCAAAACTACTAGAGATGAACTACTAAGTACTCTTTGTCAGAGCAGTGAAATGTATTTGAATCAGCCCCCTTCACATACGTTATGTGGTCGTAAATCCTCGACATGAAACTGCACCTTATTCAGCTCTCGGACTCAGGGGACCTAGTTACAGTTAGGGTGGGTGGGTGGATGTTGGGCGTAAAGCTATTTGGAAGAGGTTGCATTTCAGTCCAGTGTTGGGATAGGAACTGCATGTGAAAACCATTCAATATAAAATGCTGTCAGTCTGAAGGGTGCATGCAAACAGCTCTGTACCATCCTTAGCCCAACAAGCTGATAGTTCAGGAGTCATATCCCGGTTAGAAGATTGAGATGCAATGTGAGAAACCCCAACTGGATTGCTCAGATCCAAAGTGTCCAGTGAGGTGGTGAATGGTGAGGGAGCGATACATTAATGACAGGGACCAGGATTAAGGGACCTTCATGTGATTGAGCTTTGCAGAGGGTTGAGGTTTGCAAAATTAATGTAACTATTCCCCTTCCCGTCAATGACATGAGTTAGTTTTTGTTGTATGAAGTTAAACAAGGTGGTCAGAGTTGGTAAATCCTCTTTTACAGCCCAACGAGACAGTAAAGGGCCCTGGATCATTTGAGTGAACTGCTAAGTACACGTTTCCTGTGCATCCCAGCTCAGTTTGATCTCACTGATCTCATTGCTTCCAACTTTCCCAATGCATGTTTTGTTTTCATGCATCTTCCTCATGTTTGTTTAAAATACATTCTTCACAGGGTCGAGTGACTTGATCATGGCTGTCCATTCTTGGAAGACCAAGGTGCAAATTAATCTCACGGGTAGGGGAGAGAGATTAAATACCATTCAACTGAGGACCAAAGCCAACCTATAAATTACCTGAGGTAATCGTCTGTTAACTTGAACAGACATCATTTTACAGGGATTGTGTCATTTCTCCCCTCGGCTCCTTCATCTTCTGTGCATCATTCTTTCAAAACCGGAACTCTACCTCCCTTAGTCTACCCTTCCTTCAAGTACCTGGTGCTGCCTAACCATTATTACATGATTTGTCTTGGTTTATCTGGCTCTTCTGGTCTCTCACCAAAAAAAACCTCAACAATTGAGCGCAAGATCCATTCAATCACTGAGTGAAGAAGACCTGTCCTACACAGTGGTTGGATTAGAATATATGACTGGAACCTTCTTGTCAGATCTGACAGAATATTATACAAGAGTCTTTGAATGTGATCTTTCATTGACAAGTCTTTACCACACAGGGTTCATCCAGAGAGGTTGGCTTTGGCACAGCTCTGTTCCTCATTAGGAAAAGAAAGCGACGCCATTCTTCAGGCTAGAATAACATGAGAGCCTGTGTTTTGGGGGGGAAGGGGAACAGACGCACTGGAATGTCATTTTGTATTATTGTACAGTTTTGTTTTCTTTGCATTGAACTGCTGTTCAATTAAAGGCCTTTCTTTTCAATGTTTTTCAGAGTATAATAGAGTTGTAAAAAAATGATTTCGTACACTCGTGGGTTTTGAGCCTTTCTGCTTCTGTTCTGTGAAATCTATGACTACTGAGGCAATTGTTGGAGAAGCTCTCAAGTGTACACTTTCCGAGTTATGAGAAGATCCGTTTTCAAGTCTATCATCGCATTCATTCTTATTCTCCCTTTGTCAATTGACAGTTTGTAAAGTCAGTGGATCATGGGGTCAAGGTCCCCGTCTGGGCTGCAAGGTGGAGCGGTTATATTGCAGGTTGGTAACAGAAGCAGAAACGTTCATATCCATTAAGACTAATTCTGCCTCATGTTCAGAGCTGTTCCCCAATGGATGGTTATTGAAGAGCAATCCAGTAAATGGCCAAAGTTTACCCGGGTTCAATTCCCAGGCTGGGTAAAAGCTTCGGCAAGTTTCCTTACTCCGCACTCCTTTGTTTACCCAACAGTAAATTAGTCAATTGGTGGATCTCTTACCAGGGATTGTAATCCCTCCAAATAATCAAATAAATTTGGCCATCAAACCACCATTGTTTGTGGGACTCTGCTGTGAGCAATTGGCTTCGCCCGCAAAATATAGTCGATTCACTTTACG